TTTCAATGTCAGTGGCGCAAGTTCTGCACTCGAGGTCACCTCTGCTAGTCTCTCTGTTACTTCTTCACACGCTTCTGCTTTTAAATGCTCTGTTCACTCATGAGTATCTGCATTCCCTCATGCAGCTTCTTCGTACGTCCTTTTTAGCGCATTTTCTCAGTTATGGAAAAAATGCACTATTGTGCTCGCCGTGTCCGTCCGTCTGTCTGTCTGTCCGTCCGTACGTGACCTCAAGTTTTCGTCGACGAGAAAATGCGCTCTCTGTCACTCACTGCAGTGAGTATACTGAATTATATTTTTTACTTTTTTGTTTTCTCTCGTATTCACTATAGGGGTTCATTCGTAGTTTTTCATTCGTAAAATTTCGGTTACCAAATATACTAGGTCAGCTGACATGAATATTGCGCGTCTTCTACACCAGTTTACATTTTTAACACCTGCTCCCAAAACTGAGAGCTCGTCATGTACAAGGCCAATGGTTCGATAGATTTTCCCCTCTTTCCGTATACTTTTACCTTATACGTATTTTTTCGCACTGATATAAGGATTGCCGCACTAGACGCTCATAATATTTTTTCGGTTCATCTGAATGTCATCTATTTTACGGCCTATAGGGCTTTTACAAGGGCTTTGTATTCAATTTATTTCAATGTTTCTCGGTGTTCACTACTAGTACTGTTTTACGAGCCAACTGTTCTAAAGATGTCTGTCTCAGATTAAGCTGCTATGGTGCTCCCGGATGGTATTCACGAGCGTATTTGCCAGTAGGCAAGATTACGGCAACATCTAGACAATGTCAGCGCGCTCAGCGTCATCGTCAGCTCTTTGGAATAGTTGGCAACTGCTTGCTTACTTCTGTCTTTTGTTGGTATGCAAAAAAGTACGCATTGGCGACTGCCAATGCTACTCTTGTGTGTACTTTTGCGCCTGCTCTCTCTTAAGTTATTTTAATTTTCAAGAAGCGCATATCTTTTCTCCTCGTTTGATTCTTTACAACTTTGAAGTTTTGCTTACTAAATTATTTTATGTTACGTACGTAGCTGATTGCAGCGGAGTCTACGCTGTTGCTCAGATTTGTTCACCTTAGGTCTCTATTATTCTTAACTGTTTGTTTCGACATATTTATGGAAAGTTTATCCCGTAACATCGTTTCGGTGTCGGACATCACGTTAGATGTCGTGCATGCAGGATCGTTCCGATTAACGAGCGCCACCAATTACATATATTGTGGAGCTTATTTATCCACGTCCCACGTATAATTTTGCTCCAGTGAGCAAACGGTTCCTAGATTCGTTACGGTTTTTCTTGATTTTGGTTCTTCTTGATTTTGTTAGCTCGATTTGCGTCGTGTATTCTATAGTACCATCAAATTCAAAATTGCTGTTATTAACGTCTGAGCACTTCCGACGCTAACAACGATAAAGTTGCCTTATTAAAACAAATGTTTTTTATCTATTCGAGTTAAAATGATTCAGAAAAATTTTGCGACTTTTCCCTCAAGTCATTCAGTTTTTATAAATATTGAAGAAATGATATCCGTTGCCTTCTGCTTTTTTTTCGAACAACTAAATTTGTTGCACAGAAAGTAAGGCTACTCTTGCTGCCTTTATGCAGAGAGGCATTTCAGTGACTCATTCCCATTCCCGCGGTTCGAACGTTCCAATGACTCATTTCCACCACTGCTGCAATAATGCGTTCCAGTGACGCATTTCCAGTGTGCTGTGGTCGAATATCATAATGCAAAATCCAGTTTTGAATAGTTTTTTTTTCAGCTTTGGTGTCGCTCTCTTATACGGTTGCAATTAATTATTTTAGCTCCTCGTACATTGTTTATCTGTCGTCTAATTTTGGCTAGACTCCTGGTAGACTTGACACATTCTAGTGTTACACGTGATGATTCTGTAGATATAAGTTTAAAATTGCCCCAACAGTTTTCTTTTGGCTAATCACTCTTAAGTTTTCGAGACCTTAGCGTTTTTTCAGTGCTAACAAGTGTTTGAGAAGACTGTGCTATAACATCATCATTCATCAACACGTATTGTATGAGACTACAAAATTATTTAACGCTACTAATTGTTTATTAATTCATATTAATGATGGCGGTGCTTAAACGGCGTTATTTCCGTCATCGTAACGTCAAATGTTGACACAATCCACTAGTATTCTGAGCCACGCACCGCTGTGTCTATGGCTTAAACGGCAGTCTCTTTCTTGTCTTATCCTTAGAGTTCCGTGATAACGTGTGTTCCTTTGTATACATTACTGAAGTGTGGCGGACAGAAATATTTTAATTACTCTTAAGACGGATTGTGTCGATGTTCATGTTTGCGAACATAAAGAAATAATCTCTATATTTAAACGTACGTTTGTTGAACGCTGATTGTGGTATTCTCGCGTATCCAGATTTCACCAGATGTGTTTTCAAGACCGCGTTGCGGATGATTGAGCATTTAATTGCTCAAGCATCAGTAATTTTTATCGAGCGACTCGTGTATGGGAACTTTTTTCGTTATTTTTCTGTATAACGAAAAAAATTCTTGGAATAAACAGTCTAATAATTCGTGAATGCTATATTCACGACCATGAGATTTTTTTCCTATTTTGTATGCGGTCCCATACGTGTTGCTTATTTTGCATGCGAGGTACAGACGTCATTGTGAGCAACGGTTGTTTCTTACGTTGTGTGTAAATTTCAACTAACTCCTGCACGTTTTAGCAACAATACCCGCAATTACGTTATTTTATTCTCGTTTTTTACGTTTATATATTATAATATAAATGTAGTTACACCAGAATTTTGGTGTAATCAAAAGTATTTTGAGTCTCAAACTTGATCTGCAAACGGATGTGATCTGTATTCATTTTTTTGAGCTGGTCCCATATGCGTTATGCGTTTGAATTTGTACGGCGGTCACCTATAGGACCGCGCCACCAGTTGTACAGCGAGGCTTCAGCCTGCATGGCCTTGAACATGATTGCGGCACCAGCCATCCCTGGTTCATTGGACTCATCGTACGCCTTCCTGCTTGCAACTGACATTAAACACTGCAGTTCTCCATCAAATTTACATTTAAATTTTGCATTTTATGTCATAATTTTTTAATTTATCTAGCACACCCATGCTGCAAGCTGCAGAACATTTGCAGTACTCCTAACGTGCGATAGTACCTTACATCAACAACATGAGTTGTAATGTAGCTAAGTTGAAGTTTTTTACTGCGCTACTAAAACACAAGTTTGCGTTGAAGTTAATGTTGAACGTGACTCAAAGTATATGGGAAAAATGATTTAAATTAAATCGTGTGGTTGAAACCGGAGATATCAGCGTGAGAAAGTTAATATTAATCAATTTTGTCATGCCGGGGCAGAAAATTAACCACCTCTGTGAGCGGACGTACAATCAAAAATACTGCACTGATATAACCCTGAAGGTTGAACTTGTTTCCTGTTTTTTTTTTTATTATTTCTCATTGGGATTTTAGTTCATGTTTGCTTTGGTTTACTGATGAGTTTCGCGCGCAATTTTTCGATTTACTTCAGGCATCCATATTGTTGTGAAATAATTCCTGCAAAGTAAGTTTTTTCAGCGAACTTGCTGAATTTCAAATCCTGCCATCAGAGTTACTATTTTGTTACAAACAAAAAATCCAAAATTTGGCGAAATTTGTTTCCTTCGATTCAAATGGATTTGAAAGTTTATGTGATGTCTATACTCTCCAAAAAATTTTTATTTAAAATGAGTGGGCTACCGAAAGCTGTTTTTTCTCAGCGAACCTGCTGCATTTCATATCCTGCCATCAGAGTTATTTTGTTACAAACAAAAAATCGGCGAAACTTGTTTCCTTCGATTCAAATGGATTTGAAAGTTTATGTGATGTCTATACTCTCCAAAATTTTTTTATTTACAATGAGTGGGCTACCGAAAGCTGTGAATCACTCTAGTTTCAAGACTAGAACCGAAGCCATCGAGTGAAGGCAGAATAGAAAGGGACTTCCTGTGCCTGAAGGCAGGTCTTCTCTGATAGCCACCGAGCTCTTCCTCCCTGCCGCGCAGTCTCACCTTCATACGACCGTCCGAACCTCGCTTCCATGAACACACCTGCTTTTCAGTTGGTGCTTCTTGGATTGCTATCAACTTAATCGTTGTATTTCAAGCTATTCACGCTTGTCGAAGGGTTCTAAAATAAAGATAACGATAACCAGTCTAGGTATGTTTCGTGGATGTCTCCCTAACGAAGCGATGTCATTTAAGCTCTGCATATACTTGCTACTTGGATTAGAATGCACCAAGAGCGCTTGTTTGGAGGAAATAAACTCTCTATTCTACAATCTACCATAGATTTGTATTTAATCTTTTATCTTGAGCTATGTTTTCACATAGCTCAACATCGAGTGCTTCCATCTGTTAAGTAAGTTGAGGAATTAATTACTCGAGCAAAGTGGTTCATCGCTCACAGTTTTTACGTTAGTCGAGTGATCCATACACGAGTTCATGCTAGCGACGCGTAAAATTGGATCGGTTATATCTCGAAATCCGAGTTCGCATATTTTAGTTCTGAAGTATATTGCACCTGCAGGTAGAAGTTCTAAAGTGCACCTAACGTTTGACTGGAGGCAAAGCAGGTTCATGGCTAGTTGCAAGTTCCGCCTGATTCTGGCATTTCCGTTGATACTAGGCAGCACCAGCAACGGTCGCGGAGGCGAGTTGAAGAGCTCCAGTACAGCTCTTGTTAGCATACATTCTTGCTAGAATCTATGGATTCACGGCAGTTTCGCACGATAAACGCGCGCGGCGCTTTATTTTAGGACATTTGAGCCTAAATACCACTCAGTGCATTATTCTTTTGGTAACATTGCTTTCGCTAAAACTCGTGCTAAAATTCTGTACCCGAATGCAAGAGATGTTTCAAAGTCATCAACAATATTATTTGATTATGTTGTCAAACACATTTCATGCAGTGCTAAACACTTTCTGTGCGTAACAAGTTGTTGTTTTTCAGGCGGTCTGAAGACGGCGGGAAGGAGTGGAGCAGCTGAAAGCGGCGCGTCAACGCAAAATCGCTTCACACGTGAGCTCGCCATGGCGCAGGACCTGGTCAGACCCAAGCGCCTGGACATGCTGCTCGACATGCCTCCTGCTTCCAGAGAAGTGGCCGTAAAGCATTCCTGGGATCCCGACGACCGTTCCCTCAACATTTTCGTCAAGGATGACGATAAGACAACGTTCCATCGGCACCCGGTCGCACAAAGCACAGACTGTATAAGGAGTCGGACGGGTTACACCCGTGGCATCCATTACTGGGAGATGACCTGGTCTACCAGACAGAGGGGCACCCATGCGGTCGTAGGTGTTGCTACACCCGAAGCTCCCCTTCATTCTGTAGGGTACCAGTCACTCGTAGGCAGCAATGACCAGTCCTGGGGCTGGGACCTTGGCAGGAACAAACTTCATCACAACTCTAAGGGAGGAAATTCCGGCATCACTTATCCTAAGTTATTAAATTGCGACGAAACCTTTGCTGTTCCAGATAAATTTATAAGTAAGTTTAGCCCCGTTATGGATTGCTTACCATATGTTACGAATGTGCAGAACTTTTTTCTTGTTTTGAAATAGGGAAAACATTTGATATGTTATATGAAGACCAATTGTTTGTCGGTATATTGCGATACATGGTGCATTAATTTTCATTTCAAGTTCATTTCAATCGTATGCAATTTCATTGTTTTGATTCAAAGGAAGCCCGGTAGAATTATTGACGTTCTGAAAGCAAATGTTGACATTTATATTTCATTTATGCCATGGATTGAACTGACCCGAGTTTTTCTTGCAGTCATATTGGACATGGAGGAGGGGACGCTTTCTTTTATGGTAGATGGCCAGTACCTGGGGGTCGCATTCCGCGGGTTGCGGGGCAAGAGGCTTCATCTGATCGTCTCAGCCGTGTGGGGGCACTGCGAGATCACACTTCGCTATCTAGGAGGACTGGGCCGTGAGTTGTGATGCACTCTGTGCGTGTAGACTATCGTGCTCTCCTTACAACACCAATTGGGATATTTATTTAGGAACACAGTCATTTCTGTGACATGTCTAGAGCGATATAATTGTCTCTCGATAATCTATCCGTGTTATTTTCTAATTTTCTATTTCTTGATTATCTCACACTGTGTTAAAGCAAGAAATATATTTATTATTCTGATGTTTTTAGATGAAAGCTATTTTTCAACTTGAAGAAAGTGTACGGCAACTTTACCACCCCTCACGCTGCAGAAGCAGCCGCTTACTAGACGTGAAATGACAATCAGAACTATATTGTCAGCCTTAATCTCGTGTACCCGTTTTGCATTTTTGAAAGTTGATATAAAATAATAGTTACTACAAATAGACACGGACAATTTATGTTATTTTTTCGACGTTAACCGTGTTCTTTGCCCATTCAGCTGACCCTCTTCCGCTGATGGACTTGGCGCGGCGCGCAGTGCGATTGTCAGTTGGGAAGCAGCGTCTTCATCGGCTACAGGAACTCAACCTGCCATCCTCAGTCATAGACTACCTTCACTTTAAGGACCGTGACACTTGATTGTCTTCTCAACTACAAACCTTTCCACCGCTGAGCACTCCGAGAGCGCGCTTTAAGTCCACGCTTCTTTCGCTTCAGGTCGCGTATCGTCTCTTTTTTTCCATTTCTGTCGAAATTTTCCTATGTTCGTTTTCTGTTCCCTGGAATTTCTATCATCTTACGATTACCATATTTTCACGTTCGTATCTTAAGCTCGTGCTTAATGAATTACAATTATATTTGAATCGTATCGGCAGTTTTTACAAACATTTTAACGGACCATAGATTACTTTAATCTGGTTCTATTGGGTGTTTTTAGTCAATGAAGCCTAATTCAGTTGAATTCGTTTAATATATTTTACTGCAGACATACTGTCAAAATTAATCGTACATGACAGTTCAATTTGATTACTTGGATTGATACACAAAAAAGGTTTGATGGCTGAAATTTCAGATTTAGTTCTCCGATTTCTCCATTATTTCACAACAGTTCCCTTAAATGCTTTGAATAATGTTCACTTTTTAATTGCGTCGTGATTGAACTGAATATGATGTCTCCTTTGTCCTCGAGCCGTTATTGGTCTATATTTAAAGTATTAAATCGAAATTAAAGACTTGCTTTTGGTGAAGCTGTATCCTTGAAACAAAAATGAATCAGTAAATTGTGTTACTTTTGATGAAGAGCAACGATAAAGCGTTTAGTTTCTGAACGTTGTAATAATCAGTTAAAAAAGTGATCGTTAAGAATTTCCTACCATAATTTTTGTTACTCTTAATTGGACTTCTTGAAACTTGTGTGATGCGTGTAAAACTTGTTTTAGATAGCAGAATGAGCAAATAGTTTTTTCCTGTTCGTCTCATTATTAAATAATGTAAAAATTCGTCTCTTGTTCGTTTCGTCTGCATAGTTCTCTTTGAAATTCGATTGTCGTGAAGTCCACGTTCGTTCCTTGTCATTTATTCAACGAACAGTCGAGACTGAAAGTTCTTTCTCCAATATGCTTGTGAAGACAAATTTTCTTAGCTTTCATAAGTCTTGACTTTGAGTCATTTTTCTGTTTGTGTAATTATTGCACTGCACTGTCGTGTCATTTCTGGAATGAATGGAAATAAATTATTAATTTTACATTAATTTTTCTATTCTGCTGACCAATGTTGCATGTGCCCTTCTCGACCGGAGACGATGCCGCAGTGTTTCTTATTCCAACTTTTAAACAATTGTTACGTTTTTAACATCGCCACTGTATTTTTAATTGTTTACCGTTAACTATTGCATTTTGTGTAAGTAGGGATGAGCGTTTCCTTTGCTCAATTTTCTCATCTTGTTTGGTTTATTGAGTTCAACTTGAGTCAGCTCTGCTTGATCATCTGGATCTAGGATCCTCTAAGCATCGACTTCTAAGAGTTAGATTATAGTTAACTCATAATGGTCGTTATCCTGCTCAAGGGTCTGGTTCATACCTCAGCTACTCCTCATTGGCTTGGCCATTTACCTGTTCTTTTCCATTTCCTTTTGAGTTCTTTCAACTCGCGGATTGTTTTTTTCACCGATTTTACTGGTTCTCATTTAACCGGTCGCTGTGCGTTGCACAACCGTCAACCATGATATTATTAGAATCTCTGAAAACAAAGCACGGAATTCCCTGTTCATGAAATGCCTCTCAGTCGGTTCTGCTCATCTTGCTCTATCGTTTTTTATATTTAACGATTTTTTTCGGTTGTTCTAAATACTTTCGCTAACTTAAACAAGGCAATAATTTTTCCATGACATCAATGTAGCAAAACAAATTTTAAAAAATTGCAGGCAAATCGGAGGTTCTTGAATGTGATATATTTTTCACGAACTTTCTCGTGCGCATTTTTCTCACGTAGCGTTTATTCTATTTGTGCAAGGAGATGTGATGTGCAGCTCACGGGTCAATGCTTATGTGGAAGGATGCTCTCGTAACATAGTCATAGTTCTTTAAAGCCCTTCTACGTTGTAATGCCTCGTCGTTATCTGTGTGAGTTTTGTGAATTCCTCTGCACAGTGTTTTGAGCTACTCAAACCAGAATGAAGAACTACAGACACACATTTTATTCATGAAGTAACGTCCTTGAGTAGCAGTTGGTTCGCTTTGATGACGATGGTTCAATTCAGACTTTTTGTTTGTGGTGGTTTGATAAGTAAAACTTATGTTTTGTCACAGTTCTTAGGCGCGCAGTCATGCATCTGTAAGCTTGAGTGGTAAACCGATACGTCGGTTTGCAGGACAACTTGCTGACTAGTTTTACTATAAAACGTACTCCTAACTAGTGAAGGTTAGCTCGTAAGCTCAGTTAGTCTACGTTTAAGTCACCAATGGACCTTCCTCTATAGCTAGTCCTTAGGCGACGCTCGTAAGTGACGGAGCCTTGAAGTGATTACTACCACTGATCCACCATCCTGGAGAATAGTTTGTGTGCTGGCATGTCTGTATAATCAAGTCACGTTCCGGCTGTTTGTGTATTGTGTACTTGACTATAATCTTATCCAGGATGAGCACAATAGTATTTCCTTTAGTTTTGCGTGCAGTTGCGAGCACTGTGGCTGATCGGATCAGTAATAGTGATATTCTGAATGAAAACTAGTGATGTTACAAAGTTAACGGCAGTTTTTTTTTCTAAAAGTATGCCTGCATTTGAGGAAAATTGTTTCATTCCGTTCATGTTGTTCATCGTCCTGCAATTTTTGCGTGTTGCTTTAGTAAGAAATTAAATTTCTGACTTGTTAGATTCACTCGCTTGGAGCTTGGTAGTTTGGAGTATTACCGATAAAAGCTTTTATTAAAATGTACTCCAGTCCTCACAATGCAAAAGCTTTCCATTGTCACCAGAAATTTGGTCTTCGCAGATTTTTCAACAAGTTTGATCTCTTCCCGTATTACCATCTAGACACGGTTAAGTCATAAGGTTTCAGGGGCTCTCTTCTCGAATGGTAGAAGTTGCGATTCAATACAGTTTTGTCGACCTTGATGCAAATCAACTTTATGGTGACCAGAATTGTTGCGTAATCGTCGACTTTAACAACGCGGCATGGTTACGTAAGCGTGTACAGTGCCATTACTATTACTTTGTCAGATTGACAGCATGTGTGTGTTCGTATGTATGACGTATAAACGTCAGTTATTGCTGAAAGCATCTACGTCGTTTCTTAAGAAACATTCGAGTGATTAGTGCTATATTGTGTTAGTGCTTAGTGTAGGAGGCGTCCTTGTACAAAAAATATTAAAAGCAAAATAATTTGGCTTTTGTTTCATTGCTTCCTTCGTGAATCGATAGTTTTTTACAATGCAATTTCACGTGAATTCGAAAACACTTTTTTCGAAAGAGGTGTTGTATTGAACATCCTCACTGGCACGATTCGACCCGTTTAGTATACTTGATAACGCTTCTAGTTCAGTTGGCCTCACTTGCAGTCAGTGGTCAGTTCCATCGTATCTGAGCGTATCTTATCACAAAGGTTAGTTCTTATCGTGTTAGGCTTTTATGTAGGCTCTGCAATAACTACCAATGTATTCCACTGACCGAACAGTTTCATACGTCGCGCTGACAACTTATCTTAAGAAGATATTTTTGAGGACCTTGTAGCGTCGTGACTCGTGATGTCTCAAGAAAGAGTGCGAGGACTCAGTTATCGTCTGACCGTCGAGGAGGTGAGACTTTGTCGACGATCGTGCATGAAATCCAGTTATTAAAATGTACAGGCTTTACGTTAGTTTATAAATTTCAAGTACAGCTTCTTTGTGTGCCCGAATAGTTTCGCTTATGTTGTGATATATTTGAATTACGAGTTAATATTAGTTATTTGCAAATCTCGTGTCAGTCACGTCATTTTTCGCCTATCCGAAACAATACGGTACTGGACACTACTGGTTCTGTGCTATTTCAAAATTTCTTAAATTTTTACACAAAATCTTTTATTTTGTCCTGCGTGTGGGATTCACGTGTGATCAACTTCAACCTATGATTGTACATGTGTTAGGAAACGAGGATTCTCCACGCATTGACCCTCTTTCAATAATATCAGTTCGAAATGGACGTCAGGGATTCTCCAGAAGCGAAGAAGAGGCATCACCTCAAGCAACGAGAGGCAGGCAATAATAGTCAAGATAATAATTCACTCACATCTTCTAGCTCAACTGATTCAGGTTATTTCAAGGCAAATCAGAGATCGTCAGATTCCGTCTCCAGTGATGCCGGATTAACTTATGCCTGGCAAAACCTAAACGTGTACGGTACTAAAAAGACCGGCGTCATCCGAAGAAAGAAGGAAGAAATTCACATCTTGAAAGATGGTCAGTAAATTAATTATACCTATCGTAATCATTAAGACTCGAGTCGATGGAAGATATTCTAAATCAGGCACACGGATGAAAATTGAAAATTCGGTTTAATGGGTTCTCAGATCAATTTTGGTTGTCGTTTGACTCAAAAATTACAGTAGGACGAATTGTGGACATGGCGTAGCGTTGGAGGTAGTCGCCTAACCTGCATTTTTGACACTTATAACCTTAGTATACTCGCATTTCATTCCAATAGTAAAAGAATTGACGTGATGTTCAGTCGAAATATATATCTCTTATGTTTTAAAAATGTCAATTCGTACATATTCATAAATCAAGCTTATTAAAAAATAGAATTAATTTTTTCCAGTTAGGGACGTTGCGTAGTAACTAAGTATGCACCATCAAATCCGGTATTCTATGGCCTGGTTAGTCGGTACCACGTCATTTTTCTAAATTTAATTTGGCAATTTAATTTTTCGCCTCATACGTAATTCGTCGACTTTATTTTGACACAGTATCTGGGCTATGCAAAGGTGGTCAGTTCTTGGCTATTATGGGGGCGTCTGGTGCTGGAAAGACAACTCTGCTCAACATCCTAACTTTCAGGTAAACAAACACCTTAACCCTTAGTCTACTGACGGCATCTTCAGTTACTCCGCTGGAATTCTGAATTCACTAACGACGTTTAGGTTTCCGGGGACTAAGGGTTAAAACTGTTGCGGTTTCTTTTTCGATGATCATTCTATATGTAGCAGATTTCTCAATAGTTATTTGGTGCAGGGTATTAGTCGCTTTGCATTTATAATTTTGTCGATAATTCAAATCTGAACCAAATTTACTGAGGTAAAAACCTCCCTAAGTTTGGTCGGGTGAGCGTTTTCAGATTCGGAAAGTGAGTTATGTAACACAATATAACGCAGGAGCTTTCAAAGTGTAGGCAAAATAAGGTAAAGGTGTTTTTTAAATAAATTTTTATCTTACAAATTTGTTTCCTGCCAACGCAAGATTATCTAATTCGGTAACGATTTACAACAGAAGCACATTCCAATTTATATCTCAGGCCTACTCATTAGCGCCGACATCGCTATGTTATGTTTTATAACTGGTCCCAGTGGCCCATTCATGCTCTCAAACGGTGCACGCACCTTATTATAATGCGCTAACTTTTGTCGCGTTTGGTAAAATAAATTTGAAATGAAATTTTTATTAGCTGCTGGACTTGACAAGTATACCTACCTGGTAATCCGCGATATCTAGTGAGTAGGTAGCACCAAACGGTACTCGATCACAAAAAAGTTAGAACCCATTGTAATACAGGTTAGAATGGCTGGCTAATTTCTATTTTTTGAATGATAACCGAGCAGCTGTATCATGCCAAAAAGTCCAGTACAAAATTTGCTGTATCTGTTGCTATTAACGTCTCTTATCTTATTTTTTTCGAAGTTTCGAGATGCTTCTACGCTATTTGTGCTAGTCACTTGGCCCTGACTTCCCGAGATCTTGAAGTTGAACACGTACCGGTACTCGATAGTGATGAATGAAATTTGACTTGTGGAAAGAGAGCTCTTCCGATTCAGAATCACCGATCATTCGATACCCAGTTATTTTAAAGACAAAGTCTTGGGCGCACATTATTAGCTTTCAAATTACATGAAAAATCGTATTCGTAAGTTTAAAACTTGTTACTTATTTACTTTGCAAATCTTAGAGCCATGAAATTGCGACAAACCGGCAACATCGCTATCAACGGCCATGCAGCGGACTCGTTGACGATCGCTGCGGTGTCTGCCTACGTTCAGCAGCTGGATTTGTTCACCGGCGTTTTCACCGTCCGTGAACAGCTCAACTTTTGTGTAAGATCCATCATAAATATTATTAATTTATTCTTAATTCTAGTGACTGCGAAGGCTTGGCACGGCAAAATTATGTGGACGTGAAACTGATTCGATTCTCGTCTGCACGATTTTCTTGTAGCTTGACTTCAGGCTGTTAATAATGTAATCATTATTTGAATAATTTGACAATGAATTTAAATTGTGAATGTGCTTTGGTGAACTGAGGTAAGTTATTTGTATCTGTAAATCACTGACTGTGCTTGGTCCAAACTTATAATTTATTAGTTTTTTATTCAGACCTAAATCCAAAACGCACGAATTACCACACTAATGCCTCTGCACTTAATTTTTTTTCTTAACACTTCACCTAACGTTGTTTGACGATAATTCGAGTGACCCAGCAAGTTGATGCAAAGCCTCACAAAAGAAGACTAAATACTACTACCCAGAAATTAATTTCTGATTTAAATAGTTCTTAGCATATTAGGCTTTGTTGAGAGGTAGTTAGGGTATTGCCTCAATGTATGCTAGCGGGTTTAGTAAAGCGTGAACAATAAAACATAGCGCGTACATATGTTTAGCATATTATACTTTGTTGAGAAGTAGACTAGTACCTAGTTAGGGTATTGCCTCAACGTATGCTTGCGGTAGCGTTTCGTATATAAACTAAAGACGCCTCAAGGTCTAATGTACGCAAAAATTCTACGGGGGCACAGCAAAAATATTTCGATTCCATGTTTCTTGCTATGGCACCAATGTTTTACACGGTATTTTGGCAATGCTTTAATTGATATATTGTTTATATATCAATCAATATATTTACAAAGTGTTTTGATGTCACTCGTTTAAATATTGAGAACAAATTGCGTGAATAGTACCCGTTACGAACGATTTATTCCAAAAAAAATATTTAAGATAACTGAACGAGAATTATTGCAAAAAAATATAACTCAGTACCTACTCACTGCAGTGAGTGACAGAAAGCGCATTTTCTCGTCGACGAAAACGTGGTTACGGACGGACAGACGGACATGGCGAGCACAATAGTGAATTTTTTCCATAAATGAGAAAATGCGCTAAAAATGGTGAGGCATTTCCAAACCTGGGCAACAATGATGACGAATTTAAACGTGATACAAGCGCACAGCCATCAGCAGCCACCTATTTACCCGCATCCAACCTAGGAAAGATTACAACTGAAATTAATTTATAAAATCTAATCAATTTTCCATCCGTGGTCGTTAATCAAATGAAATTCAAAATCATGTAGTTCTGTTTTTGGTCAGTTCGATCTCCATGACATTGTTATTGGCTGATGATAAAAAATGGCCATTTTTAATTCCTATTCTCGGTATCTTCGTTCCACCCAGACAAGATGGACATATTGAGTTGTATGTAAAAATGATGATAATGATAATGTGGCTTGAAAAGGTCAATCTATATTTTTCGAGCAATTTAAACTTTAAACGTGCATGGAACGACTTGAAAAAAATCTATGTCTAGTTGTTGTGCCGGTAAATTTTTATTTGCTTAAATTATACTCTAAAACTTCGCAATTATTTTTTATCTAGATTTTAGTATTTGTGTCCAAAACTGAGAGACTAACCTGAAATAATTTTTTTTCTGAGTTGATTTTTTCCCTGAGGTGATTTTTTTAAAGTTTTTTTTTTGTTGAGGACAGTCGCTATCACACTCTCCTTCTTATCCGGCATGTCTGTGTGTTGAATAGATCGATAAGATGGCAGTCTAGTGAATCGGATTCCAATCTTTTTGTTGTCTATTCATTTTTCGTTATCTGTCGTGATAGCGACTTCTGCTAGCTAGATGAATCTTCCTGTACTTAACATTCAAATAATTATTGCTAGCTACTCTGTTCAATACTGGTTTTGATCTCGCGATTTCATTCGACATTCCAAAAGCAATTATGCACAGAAGACAATTTTAAGCTTATGTTCAAAATAGTATTGAAGTTTATATAGAAGATAAAAACATTTCTGTTCGCTAATGGTTATTATTATTATAGTTGAGTTTAACGAAGTGCGCCAATACCCTCATCGGAGTGCCCGGCCGGGTCAAGGGCATCTCGGGCGGCGAGAAGAAGCGGCTGGCGTTCGCATGCGAGGTGAACATAAATTTCTGAACGAGGGCATAATTTGCCTACTGTTTCCAAATGTTAATTTGCGACNGCTATTGGTTTTAACAGCTAAGAATAGGATCTGTCTCTTATACACATCTAGATGTGTATAAGAGACAGGGGCGGGCATGGAGGAGCAGTGTCGGGAGTACGTGCATCAAGTGTGTGATAATTTCAGGTACGACTCAGACTCTGCAGGGGATATAGAAATCAAATTGTGTAGCTTAGAACAAGTCGGGAGTACGTGCATCAAGTGTGATAATTTCAGGTACGACTCAGACTCTGGGGACATAGAAATCACATTGTGTAGCATAGAACAAGTCGGGAGTACGTGCATCAAGTGTGTGATAATTTCAGGTACGACTCAGACTCTGGGGACATAGAAATCAAATTGTGTAGCATAGAACGCGAGTGGATGTGATAGAGAATGAGAGCTAAAATAATGTGGGTTTTGGCTATTTTGCGTGTTGAAAATATTAAAATCAAAATGAAAAATACACAGCGTATTTACTAGAAATTGGCATTATTTTTACTAAAATTTTGAGCTAAAGTCATATGGGTTTTGGCTATTTTGCGTGTTAAAAATATTAAAATCAAAATTAAAAATACATAGCGTATATACTAAAAACCGGCATTATTCTCTCTAAAATGTTGAGCTAAAAAATAGGTCATTTTGGTTGTTTCTTCATAAATTTTCTTTGTAGCATCTTAAGGAATGCATCATGATGCATGAAACATTCCTTTTTTTATGTCCAAAACGCTGAATGAAACTCGATGTTTGAATGAACATTTTAATATCTTCAAGAAATTGTATAATTTTCTATTATTAATTTTAAATCTAGGACTTCTTATATAAGCAAAATTCTGCGTCATCTGTGTTCTTTTTGACCCTTCCTCTATTATTTTTCATCAACTGTTATCAAATCAATTAATATAAAATGTTCAATTACATGGGTTACCGCCGGTCAATAGAATGGAAGTAATTCCCTTTCATCACATTTCTTAAACTATATTATAATTCGTGGATTATATTATATTTCATGAATTACCGTATATTATGTTTCATGAAAGATATCATGTATCTTGAATTAAATTAAATTTATTGAAATATATTATGTATCATGAATTAAATTGTATTTCTTGAATTATATTATGTTACATGAAATATATAATATATCTTGAAAGGAATTATATTTATTGGACAATATGTATTGTTGTATCTGTATTGAATGTTGTATCTCTGATACAGAGACCACGAAGGCGTACAGCTCATGGAAGACGTCCAGCAGGCCATGCTTCCTCCCCAGGGCGACGACCCGCTGGCAGCCATCAAGATCTCCAAGGATCCTTACCGATCTACCTTCATTGACCAGTTCTCTGCACTAACGAGGCGATCTTATTACGAAATCGTCAGGGATCCTGTAGTGACTATAATAAAAGTGGCCACGTCCATCGTAAGTTTTACGAAACCTTGCCGATCTTTTTGTTAGAAATGAAAGGTGAATCATCCTGCGCGTGGTTCATCGAAGGTTCTATGAAACGTGTCTTGCAATGATGTCTCGTGTTTACGATTTGAAATGTGTCATTTGTTCTTATTGCATCCTAAAAATAAAGATGTTCGGACCCATTAATCTGGGAAGTACTGATATTAGTTTGAAACGTACATACGTACCTAAGATCTAATTCGTTCGAAGGCTTGAATGCTGTCCACCATTTACGAACTAAATCCTCAACGTAATACGTGCCAAAGTTATGCTTGCTCTTTCTTTTGGTTTTCAAGTATAATTCAACTTTAATTAATTTTTTTCAGTTCTTTGCCATCATCTTCGGCTTGATCTACTTCGATGTCGACCCTTCAGATCCGAATGGGCATGGAGTGCAAGATATCAGCGGTGCTCTCTTCATATTCGTTACGAATAACACCTTCTCGAACATGTTCCCAGTTATCACTGTAAGCGTCTTTTAAAACCTGTCGTTTTTATTGTGTCGTTTAGGTTGATGCATCGGACTATTGTATTCCGCTTTGTAAATTATTTTATTTCTAAGTATGGACTAGCATTTTTTGCAAGAACTTTATTGTCTAAATTGCACTACAAGGCCTCAAATGCGTCTGTGATGAGCCATTCATATGATGTTGAATTAGTTATTTCATGTATTTTTTATTGCTCATTGCTCCGAAGAATTTACGATCGCCTTATTAAAAAAATGTTTTGGTGTGAGTGACAGCTTTTTGTGCATTGCGTAAATGCCTCATCAGAATCCTGCCTAAGCCTCAATATACTCGAACAGATATTTGCTGCCGCTAAACCTCTGTTCCTGCGGGAACATTGGAACGGACTTTACCGCACAGACGCCTACTTCTTGTCCCGGAATATCGTCGAGTTGGCCATCTATGTGACCTTACCGTGCATTTTCGTGTCCGTCAACTACTACATGGTCGGATTGAGGTGAGATCACAGTGATTAGTCACATCTTATTCCAATATTATCATTTATTAATGCTTGATATTGTTATATATTTATATTGTGCTATTGGTTTTAACAGCTAAGAATAGGATACTGTTTTTGAACCGATCAGAAGTACGCAGACTCCATGAGTACATGAGTACAAGCTTTGCAGAATCTCGGGTCTGTCGGATTGAGGTGAGATCACATTGATTAATTACATCTTATTCCAATATTATCATTTATTAGTGCTTGATATTGTTATATATTCATATTGTGCTATTGGTTTTAACAGCTAAGAATAGGATACTCTGTCTGGGAACCGACTCTTGATTTGTTGATCAGAAGTACATGAGTACAAGCTTTGCAGAATCTCGGGTCTATTTACCAACCTACATAGCCTATTTAAACTCTTTATGTATCGTGCTCAGTTTTAAATTCTCCTCAACAATGGATATTTTAATGTCGTGGCATATAGATTCTCGTACCTTTAATTACTTTTATTTTTTCTCTTTTTTTTTTAATAAAAAATGAGATGCATTTCCTCTTGGCCGCTTTGTTGTCGATAGTGACTCGCACTGAGTCACCGGCAAATTAAAAAATGGAATTAGGTGTGGTGTCAAAATATGCTGTTGGTGGAGATATTTTTTGTTATTTCATGCACAGAAAATTGAATGCATTATTAAAATCGTTTCAGACCAGAAGCGAAGTACTTCTTCACGCACCTGTACATCCAGGTTCTGGTTGCCAACATCGCCGTATCTTACGGTGAGCCTAACACTAATGAAAAATTTATTGTCCTCAATTTAATGGTTGAATTTTGTAATAAAAATACAACTTGTCCTTGATTACCATATGACTTCATGATGTTGTCTTTTACGTCATTTTCATAGTGCTCTCCACGTTTTTAGACCTTATTATTCCAAGTTTTGGTGTTTTTTATCAGTTATTATCTCTTATCGCTTTCTCGTGCATTTTTTATGTTCCGTAGTACTTATTTTTTTATTTAATTGCCCCATTTGAAGCGCTGGCAGTTGAACAAACAGCTTATGCAATTTCTCCGTGTTTCCCAGGCTACATGGTATCGTGTCTAGCAAAGGACTACAACACGGCCGTGGTTCTGTCGACGCCTCTACTGCTGCCACTCTTCCTCTTCGGCGGCTTTTATGTACAACCGGAGTAAGCGTCCGCAGTGATGAGCATAGAATAGAAGTGTCGGCGTTGAAGGAATGGGCCCATGGCCTGTTGCCGATTCTTGTAACTTTCTTAACTTGAATAACAGATCTAAAAATCGGTCTTTTGACCAGATCTTTTCATAACTGACATTGATTTGAGATAGCTACTGAAATTATTACCAGGTCCGTAATGTGCTAGGCATTTCAAGACTGAACATATGCTCCTGCATAGCTTCGTCCAGTCTGTTCTTGAAGATGTTCATACTTGGAGCGTTCACGATGTCATCAGGGACGCTGTTCCGCATGTCGGTGACTCGAAGCGAGAAGAAATGTTGTCACATGGATGTGTTACAACGCAGTTTTTTTAGTTTATAGCTGTGGCCCCTGGTGGTGTTTCTTGTTTCAAAGTTTATGAATTATTTTAGGACCTTTTATAACCCATGGGTATACTTGTATACTTCAATGAGGTCGCCACGCAAGCGTCGATAACATAGACTTAGTCTTCATAATCTTTGAGCTTTATTCAAAAGACTTGCCTTTTAATCCCCGAATAAACCTGGTTGCACGTATTTGAACACCCTCTACTAAATTTGTGTACATCTTAAGTTGTGATGACCACACGGCTTTTTCAAACTCTAGATTCGTATGTTTTTAAAACGTTTTTAACACGTTTTTCTTAGCTTAGCTTCGCGTTTGTTTGTTTGTTTGTTTGTTTATTTGTTTGTTAGTTTGTTTGTTGTTAACATTGACAACGAAAATTAGCCCACTTCTGATTGTTCTAGAGATCTGAAATTCGGCATGCAGTGAGAAGAAATGTTGTCACATGGATGTGTTACAACGCAGTTTTTTTAGTTTATAGCTGTGGCCCCTGGTGGTGTTTCTTGTTTCAAAGTTTATGAAATATTTTAGGACCTTTTATAACCCGTGGGTATACTTGTATACATCAATGAGGTCGCCACGCAAGCGTCGATAACATAGACTTAGTCATCATAATCTTTAATCTTTATTCAAAAGACTTGCTTTTTAATCCCCGAATAAACCTTGTTGCACGTATTTGAACACTTTCTACCATATTTGTGTACATCTTAAGTTGTGGTGACCACACGGCTTTTTCAAACTCTAGATTCGTATGTTTTTATTTGGTCATTTTGTCATGTTCTCGCACACAATTTAATGTTCAAAGTTGTGACAAGACAATTTTATCATTTTTACAATTTCCGTTGTAGTGCATTAGTAGTAGCTGTTTCTCTATCAGTAATTATTTTCGTCATCCAGCACCATCCCGGTGTACCTGGACTGGATCAGCTACCTCTCGTGGTTCATGTACGGCTACGAGTGTCTCAGCATCAATCAATGGCAAGGACTGGAAATAACTCCACCTAACGGAACCGTGTTACCACCAGGCGTCACCGGCGGTGACGTGGTGCTTTCTCGTCTGAGCATCGATCCGGTTTGTTAATCAACCGATACCAATTTATTCCTTTCACTTTGGCATCTAATTATAATTATGTATCTGTGAAGACGGTGTATTTTGAAATTTCAAATACTTAGACAATTTCATGTAACTTCGACTACTGCTGATAACAAATTCCTTAATCTTGCCTAACGGACTTTATCGCGAGGCAAAAAGTCTTGATCGCGAGGAAAGGAACTTTAAATAGATGCTGATGCGTGCGAATTTTCAACTGAATATTAACTAACTAGTACAGAAGTTCTTTTGTTTACATTGAAACAAGTACACAAGTTCTATTGTTTCTTATCTTTGTTCCAGGACAATTTCTACATCAATGTTGGAGCGATGATCATCCTACTCATCGGGTTCAGGATTTTGGCATTCTTGCTGTTGCTCCGCAACACTTACAGAAAAGATTAAGATAATGCGCTTCGGTCGTGCTTTTTGTAACCCGTTGTGTCTCACACTTGCACAATTATGTAAAAAAGCGCAAATGTGGTTTAAGAATAAAAATAGCGGTATTGACCAATTAGCTCTAACGGCAACTCGAGTCACTACATTCAGATGCTAATAAAATGAAATATTTATAGCATAGAGGGTAATTTGGAGCCCATGTTGGTTCGCACCAACGACTTGTGAATGGATTAGTGGATAACAGTTGCAACAATTGAATCTATATGTCTTGAGTGCTGTATGTGGTGTCGATAGTAGTATCTAGAGTTTGAGGTAAACGTGGAGTATGGGCCATGGAGTTTGTTGTATAAGCTTATCTAAACGCAGAAGCGTAAAAGCAGTAAAATTATTATTATAATACTTTGAATTTTATCATTATTTTGAAAAGGAAGATTGTATTATCCAAAACAAGTTTTCTGAAATATTTTATGTATAAGGTTTCGCTCTAAATTAAGTGTCATATCACAACGGAAACCTGGATAACGGAATCAATTTATGCGCTCAGCAGTCTATAACAATGTGTTAACTGTTGAAAATAGGAGTCGATTGACTCGGTTTGATTTGGATTGAGTAGGTGAAATTGAGCAGATTTTACTGGATACTGGATGATGTACTTTTCTTTGCACCAGACTGACATAGTAGCTTAAACATGTAAAATTAGCTTTTTAGACGAATGTTTGTGCCACTTTGTTGCATTTTGGCTAAGAATCCTTACGTAGCTAATGTGTTACATGTACGTAAAATCATAATGAATCTTGACTGTGTCGGTTTTTCGTTAACGTTTCTTCATCCCTCATTATATGCCTATGGTATTATCGAGTTGAACGAGATTTATTTATCAAGATGATTGAACTAGTCCCTACCTAATGTCGATGGAAATACGTAGAATAATTAGGCTAAGAAAGTTTATGGTATCTCATCCTACACTTTTCCATTCTTTTGCTTGTGATGCATTTTGTCATTCCGCTCGGAGCGCCCTTGCTTAATAATTTGTATCGCAGCTTGAAGCAAAACATATAATGTGTTAAAATTGGGCTCGTTACAAATAAGCATGACTTCCCAACCAGACTATACCTTGAGGATTTTAAGCTTTTCAAATGTCTCTTATATTACCGACCGATTACCAGCCATTCCCAACTCGAATGTCTACCATTGTATTTAAAAAAAAATGTCATTCTCAGCAACCAAACGCAAAATAGTAGATACATTTGTTTCACAGTTTCTTTATTGTATAAGTATATTCTTACCTAAAATTTCTTCTATGTAAGGCCTCAAACTATCAAGTAAACCGACACCGAAAAGAGAGATTATGCGTTGTACCTTTTAGTTTAGAAAAGACTCCAAAACTTGATGTAATGCGTCATATCACATTTTTGGTTCCAAAAACGCACAATTGGTTTTCATTTATCTGAATCCACGTTGTCTAAATTTCTGAAAACAAATATTTTCCACGCGTGCAGCCGTCAGCCATAATTACTCAGCCTCTGCTTAAGCCAGTGTTCTATAAAAAGCTTTTTACATTAACTTGAATGACAGTATTAAGAGCACGCAGGACAGTTGTTTCATGGTTGAACTAGCTATATAAGGTTGACCCACGAGAAGTTCCGTCTTTCAGTTCAACCATGAGTTGTTGTTCAAAGTTCAACCATGTAGGCCACATCAGGCCTACACTTCAGCGTCGAGATCAATATGTTATGAGTTGGAGGACGAAAATACCGGACGACGTCAAATTTTCCGCTTTTTACAGAATGTTGCCATTGCCCTTTGGAGTTTGGCGGGCTCTTCAGGTTTCGTGATCACAAGCCTGTGCCTTGAACTTGCGGACAGTGGACACCCTTATTATTTTTACTCTTGTTTACCCCCTTTTCATGCTCAACAAAACCAAAAATTTGCTGACATTAGGCTTGTATCATTGCATACTCTTTCAGCCGGTGAAAATTTATCGTTATTCGTACCTCCAAGGCTCCAATTCCATAGTCCATACATCACTAACATCAGCAGATGATCAGCTGACGTAGAAATTGTTAGTGCACACTGACACAAGTGATCAGCTGACGAGCCTGACGTAGAAATTGTTAGTGCACACTGACTCAAGTGACTAGCGACACATACAAAACGGGAAACGAGAGCCAAATGACAATAGAAATTTCGCTGAACATACCGCCCGGCAAACTTGCCAGCGGACTTTGTTGCCTCAATTCTGAATCGATCTGCCTAAAATCCAAACATAAGGTGATTTTGTTAAGGGCCTGAAAAACATGTAAAATTGATTAGATTTGCAGCTGTTCTTGTCCAATTCTGGGGTGGCAGCTGCCCAATTTTACTGGATTCCATGCCCTTTTCTTAAACCAACACATGCTTGAGAAGTTGAATGATTACATGGCACAAACATACAATTTCCCTTAAGCTCTCCAGATCTACAAATATTATTTTAATAAAAATTACGTAAGGTGCTGATGGCAATGACATGATTGACATCCAAGAGATTTCCTGGCTACTGATAAAGATTCAAGTGTATCTATATGAAATATGAATGCTGACTATAAGATATATCTATACTCTAAATCCTATTTTAGAATTTTGACCTCATTCATTGTATTGATAATTGATGGTAATTTGAATTTTTACCTTACTACATTTCAAGAGCAATGCCTTTGCTAAGATTTGTTGTAACTTGTAAAAGAGTCCTATTTAAGGTAAATTATATTCTCTGCTGCCCTTTTTCAATCTAACTATAAATAATTAAGGTAACTAATATAATTTAAATTAATAAACTTGCTCTTCCTTTAGTGTCTCCAAATGTCCATTTGGAGCCACAAATAAAATTTTCCACTCTGTAAGAAAACATGTTACACATGACTGACAGTTTAAGTAATTTGTAATTTCGTTTTTGCTTCAGGTAAATATGGGCATAACTGGCCTTCTACCTTTTGTCAAAAAGGCCAGTCGTCCTTGTTTTTTACACGAGTTTGCAGGAAAAGTTGCTGCAGTGGATGCTTATTGCTGGTTGCACAAAGGGGCATTCTCCTGTGCTGACAAACTGGGTCGGGGAGAAGATACTGATGGGTAAACTTCAGCTTCCACTACCAAAATTATTCAATTATATGACAATTTTAAATGTGAACTTTTTTAAAAATAATTTTATTGTATTATTATTGTGATGGTAGAATTTATGGAAAAATACTTGTATGTTGTGGAATATTGTTGTTTAATAAACCAGCAAAATAACTTTTCTGAAATTCATAAAAGAAGCATTTGTTGTGATATTTCAAAATATTTTAGTTTCACATTATTTTCTGCAAGATTTTTTTTTGCATTATTATATAAACCCCTTCTGATTTATCTACAGGTATGTGGTGTATGTAATGAAGCTGGTTCGTCTCCTTGTATCCCACCACATCAAACCTATTATGGTTTTTGATGGGTGCAATCTTCCTTCAAAGGCTGGCACTGAAGCAGAAAGAAGAGAGTACGTTACAATTGTTGGCAATTACCATTTCAAACATTTTTTTGTCTTAGGTGCTTCCTTGGCAAGTAATTTATGGAAGACTTATCTGATGTCTTGATTAAATATTAATTCTAAAACATTTGCAAGTGCAAGTTGCATTATTGCATTGCATCAAAAATATATTGCATCAAATAGCATCAAATGCATATTTTAGACTTGCATAATCAAATTGAAGGAACAGAGATTTTACAGGAATAAATCAGTGTTCTTTAATTTTTTGACTCAGATTGTCTATTCAACTTCATGTAATTTTCTAAATATGTGTATATATCATCTATTTGAATGATAATGTAATGAAACTCATTTTTGAACATTAATGAATTGTTCTGTTGAAACAAGATCATTGAAGTCTTGATCCCTCTGTTTCAGGTCTCGAGCCAAAAATCGAGCCCTGGCCAAGGAGATGCTGCGTGAAGGCAGAGTACGTGAAGCAAGAGAATTTTTTCAACGATGTGTCGATGTTACTTCAAAAATGGCCAGGGCTGTCATGAAGGCCTGTAGAGAACTGAATGTTGATTGCATTGGTGAGAATTATGTTGATTAATTGATATAAATGAAATATGTTGCCAACAATTTGTGATAATTGAATTATTTTTGATATGATGTGGTATTTGTCAGTGATGTAGTAGGATTAATTTTTTATTTTGTAAATTTTTCCAAAAATAACAATGTCTTTCCAAAATATTTTACCTCTCAAAGTTCTCATGTGATAATAACCTTATTACCGTACTGATTTTTCAGTTGCACCGTATGAGGCTGATGCGCAGCTTGCATATCTTGCAAATGAGGGCTTTGCTGATGTAGTTATTACAGAAGATTCAGACCTGCTCGTTTTTGGCTGTGAAAAAGTAAGGTATTTTCGGTGCTGTGTCTCCTGTATAGTCAAACTCTGGGTTCTTTATCTGAGGGGTTCTTAAGGTCCACCTCTACTGTTAATATTGATGCTGCCATCCTTCTGTTCCATCTTCCACTTGTATAAATACAATCATTTAATTTTTTTTATTCCCTGACAGTATATGAGTTATTCAAAAATAATATCTCTATTCTTTTTTATTGATATGAAAGTTCTAAGCATTTTATGGAAATCTTTACTTTATAACCTTCTTGCTTTATATAAAGAAATAAAATCAATAACTCAATGTAAATTTCACATATGATGTAGAGAAGCATCCATAAAAACAAAATAAGTAAAAATAATGGTCTACTTTTTTCAGGTGATATTCAAAATGGATAGCCTTGGCGGAGGCATTCTCGTGGAGCAAGAAAAGCTTCATGTTGCTCTAGGACTTCCTCCCGACAGATTTTCGTGCGTTAGTTTCTATTGATTACACTTCTATATATGATATTGAGAGTCCAAATATTTGAATATCTTATGATATAACCTTAATTAAAATCACTAAATGCATTTTTCAGACAGATCTCCAACATATTTAGTGACTGACTTTTCTGGTCACATTTCACCGTCATCCTTCTCTTGATGGGTGAATCTAATCTAAGATACTTCTCGTCACTTTAATTTAACTAAAAATGCTTTACCACCTTAAAACCTTATTTTCTTGCATTGCAGTCTTGATCTCTTCCGAAACATGTGCATTTTGTCTGGCTGCGACTACTTGCCTTCTCTTCCTGGCATTGGATTAGTCAAGGCCTGCAAATTTTTTTCACTGACTTCCAACACCGATGTTTTTAATGTGAGTGACTGTCATTATTATCTCAATCGCCCATTCAACTAAGATTTATCCAAGTGCTTTTGTACATTCAAATCCTTTATTTATAGGTGGAATAAATATATTCTGACTTGACCCTTGTTAAATTCACCCAGCTGTTGCCACTGCATGAATATTCTTAAAAATTTTAAATGTTTTCCAGGTGCTGTGCAAGCTTCCTGCGTACCTGAAAATGCCCCAGCTTGAAGTCACACTTGAATACCGCTCCAGTTTTGTTAAAGCTGTGAACACTTTCCTATACCAACTGGTGTTCTGCCCTCGACAACGCGTTCTGCGACCACTTGTGATGTACCAAGGTTATTAAGACGCATGTATCTCAGCCCCCAATGGTCCTGTTCATTTGGGCTTTGACTCGCATTAAAAGCCTTACAATGTATTTCTCTCCTAGGCCATCCACATGATGCCTTTGAAAAAGAAAAAGGATGTGATTGTTGAGTGATTTGGTATCACTTGATGAAAATTTCGGATATTTGTATGTCTTCTGATTAATAAAAAAAATCTTTAGACATTTTCCATATAGATGATGTGCATCATTAATAGGTAAATAAAATTGTCCCTAATTTAAAATTGAATTTCTCATGAATTTTATAAAAAAATTTAAATTCCTGTCAATTCTAATGTTCCTGTCACCTTGCCATTTGAAACAAGTTCTTCATTCACCGACATTTGTATTAGAAATAATGTATTCATTCATGTGCTTCCTTATTTACATTTTATTACCTTCGAATTTTTATAATATTTTTTCTTTTTCTGATTCACTTTTTCATTGTAAAATATATATGCCTTATTTAATTTTTTTCGGTGAATTTTCAGACGGATCTGATTGTTCAGACCATCCATATGCAGGTGCTTTCATTGGCAACGAGAAGGCATTTGCTATTGCTCTTGGCAATGTCGATTTGCAGAGTAAGCAGATAGTCGACAAGTTTCATCCTGATCAACAAAAGGTGATTATGTGTGTGAGCAAAATTGATTTATGATTTATATCTAAATTCCAGCAAGTTTTGAGATATTGCAACCTATAGATTTTCGTTATTTGTAATTCTTCATTTTGAAGTCAACGTTGTAAATAAATGATGAATTATCAGGCAACTTGTATTTCATCAGCTTCACTGGGGTCCAAGTAGAGCAACAACGCAATTTTTGGGTATCAACACCTGCAATGATGAGTGATTTCTCAACATTTGACTGAACAATTCTCCAGAGACAGTGAAAACAATAATCTCAGCTTAATGTATGTAGTGTGCAATTCATACCAGAATTTCTTCTATTTGAACTGATTCGTCCATAACAAAACAATGTTGTGCATTTTTTCTAAAATTTATAGATGAGGCATTCTCTAACAATTATTCTCTCTCCTAGGCCGGCCACATGATGTCTTTGAAAAAGAAAAAGGATGTGATTGTTGAGAACATCAGCATTTGGGATCCCGACTACGACAAATCTATTTTCCATGAACGTTACTTGGCAAAAACTGATAAGAAGTCTGAAGCTTTTGGTTCACACTCGGCATTCACAGCAAATGAGGCTAGAAAACGTGGTCGCACTGCCAACCGTAAAGAAGTCTGTGGGAACTCTGGAAAGAGTGAAAAAACGGCCAAGACTGTAAAGGTTCTTGACATAGAAAATATTTTCACAAAGCGAAAACGAGAAGGTTGGTATTGGTGCGCAAAATATTTTGGTTTAATTTACACTTGCTAGTTATAGTGCTAATTTCTTATTGCTAGTTTCTTATTGCTAGTTTCTTATTTACACTTGCTAGTTATATGTTGCAAGTTTGTTTATTTAGACTTGAGGCACAGGCTCCTTCCCAGACTCAGGGGCACTTTGAAGCAAAATCGAGCATGTTTTTTTTTATTAATTACGGATGGAAACCAACAGTCCTGACCTGATTTCGTTTTTCATATTTCTATTTCTAAGTGTCATTTAGTTTCAGATTCCAAGTGTGATGCACGAGAGTCTGACAGCGCAAAAGAAACTTCCGACCTACTCTCACTCTATGGATATGCCAGAAGAAAGTCTCCAAAAAAGATGCGCTTCTCGTCACCTTCAGGGAATGCACTGACTCATTTGAACCCACCGACTTGTAAGGACACCGTAGAACTCAAATCAGTGTTATATTTTAATTCCATTGAAGATATTGAAAACACTGCCACTCCCCGCAAAATTTTTTCCACGAGTAATGAAACAGAAAAAACTGATGAAATGTGTGAAAGTCCAATCTTCATTGAAAATTCTGCAAATGAGACTTCCACGGTGTGCACTGGAGAAATGACTGATGAACATTCACAACAAATGGTCGAGGGTACCGAGAATGACAGTTCTTCTAAACCGAATTTATTTTGCCCAAATGAGCAGCATTCTCGGCTACTTAATCCATTTGCTTCGGGTAATAAGAAAATAATTATTAAGAGCAGGTGAGTGCCCAGGATTTGTATTAATTGATGTAAGCTTTATTTGATTGAGTTGCTATCATTTCGAAAAGTCTGATCAACAGTTATGGAAGCGATGTACGAATTTTACTTTTTATCTTTCATTTGTTTGTTCATTTCATGAGATGACTACCTTCCCACAAGCCTTCCTGATGAAGTTTTTGATACCAAGGTAGTTGCGACCTACTTTTTCCTTGATCGCAATTTCTATTGATGCCACCAAGTCGTTTGTTGGAATTTTGTTTATTTTTGCAGATATTTTCGTCCATCTGAAAAATCTGCAACATCCGATGACTCCAAGAAAGATCTAGGATCCCTTCTTCGTAAGTCTATTCAAGAAACTGGGGAACGTCTTTCTAAACAAGTTACTATTTCTCACAACAATCCTGTTCTGACGGCTCAGCAACCAAAAAACTGTGTACTTCACAAAAAGGATGTAGAAATTGAGGCAAAACCCTCCAAAATGATACAAAATTTAGAATGTGAATTTAAATCTGAAATATTTGCAAATACTGAATCTGAAAATATTGATAAATCTAATTCAGAATCTCAGGATCTTCATGTATCTCATCAAGACACGCAAGTTGCAAAATCCAAAGCAGAAGAAAGTTTACCCGAATCTCAAGCGATTAATTCAGCATCTCAAGAAATACCTCCAGAATCTCAAGAAGTTACTCTAGAATCTCGAGAAATTAACCCAGCATCTCAAGAAATTACTCCAACATTTCTAGAAATTTACCCATCATCTCAAGAAATTACTCCAGCATCTCAAGAAATTTGCCCAGCATCTCAAGAAATTACTCCGGCATCTCAAGAAATTACTTCAGCATCTTCTCAGAAGTTTGATGGACAGCTCGCCGCTGTGAGTCAACGAAGCTCCTCGTTCAACGACTCTAATGACCGAGAGAGCTTTGGTTTCACTCCACAGACAAATTCATGCATCGACTCTTCTCAGGACGAAGAAGAATGTATCCGAATGATGAAAACATACAGCAACATTTTGGACTCACAAGCAACTAGTTCTTCTGTAGGAGATACCCTATCCCAAGATATTGATGTATGTACGCAATTATCTGAAGAAAACATTTCTGCGCCGTCCACAGTGGAAGAAACCAGTCGTAGTGAATGTCAGGAAAAATCACCACAATTTGTCAGAAAAAATATTACTAGAAACCTTCAATTGTCATCAAATTCCATCGATAAATCTCTTTTTGGGACACAACAGCCGTTACTCAATATTTGCAATGAGTCTCGAGTGAAGTCAGGGCATGAGTCAGATACTCATCCGTCGTCATCCTTGATACTCGCGCCCATTGACAACACCACTCAACGCAATGCCTCTTCTGACGTCGCACCTAGTGGCACTAGTCCCTATTTCTTTAAAGCGCACACGCCTAATCTGGTGAGTGACTTGCATGATTGATGTAATGCTGCGCTTTCCTTATTGATTAGATTGTAAACTAAAAACCTAACTCTACCCTTGCAACTCTACAAGATGTATGACTGGAAGTTTGAAGTGTAAAAAGTAACGGAATTCTTCCATCATTTTCAAGGTGTATCGTTACAGAAAATTAGTCGTTCATATTCCTAATGTAATTTTGTTCACTTTGTTTCTGTGTACATAGTGTTGCAGATCTTGTATGTAACGGCTCATGTATTCCTCCTCAGTCGAGCTGCAGAAGGCCTGGTCTCTCGCGCCCTCCATCAAAAACTAAGAGCCTCGGCTCGAGTGCTAAGAGTGGCCGCCAGCTCAACTTAAGGGACATGTTCGCTGCACGTCAGTGACGTTAGGGGCATCTTTTGAGTACCAGACTGAGAATCTACATTTGATGTATGAAATACACTCGGAACTGGAACTTCAGGATTAAAAATTGCTTTGGTGTATTGACTAAAGCTGGGGCATTGAAGAAATATTGTTGTATGACAATTTCTATAAGGGACATTAACTCAACTCGATATGATTGAGATAAAGTTATCTTTACATGATATGTTTTTCTTTAATTCAACAACTACGTTTTGTTAAACCACCAGAAAAGCTCCAAACTGAGCTTACTTGAAAATTATCATAAGAGAATTAAGTTCTTAATGCTTGTTAAATCAACGTGTATTCTCACAGGCACTAGATAAGGAGTTCGTATGTTTTAAGCCAATTATCTACCAAAGATACGTGCGCTGAAAAAAAATTTCATTACTGGCTAAAGTTAATGCAACGAAAAGAAAAGTTAATGGTTTCCATAAAGCAAACTAAGGGCTTTCAAATAATTGATATCTTTACTCGAGATCTCAACATTTTTATAAAATAAATACAAAGCAAAATTACATCTTTACACAAATAATACATTAACAGAAGTAAAACTGAATCAGTGTAAGTAATTGCTCCAGCGCAAAATTAATTGCTCAATTCTCAAACTGATAGGATAATGAAGCATTTACCAATTCAGAGTATCTATGTTCGCTAATTTTTTTTATCGTCGGAGGTGCTATGTAGTAAGTCCTTGCACACAACAGCTTATGGGTAAAATCGGAGAAAATCAATGCCAATCGAATAGTCATGTTTAGGACACTAATATGGTGCGACACGAAAAGGGGCCACTAAGATAGCGAATTAAATAGTTAGCTCTAAAGTTATCATGCATTAATTCAAGCACGAGATTTTTGGCAACGATCTAATTTAGTCAATGGATTTCCAGTGCAGATATATCTTTTTTCCTGACTAACATCCTGTGAAAGTTATTTTTAGGATAAAAATTATGATTTATTACTTCAAGAAACGTAAGCAGCAATGGGGGTTGTAAGGCTACGGCACCTAACGTTATGTTCCATACTTTGGCACAATCGGAGTAAAGATACTTTTTTTTACATGTACGCTAACAACGAGTCTCACCAGGATACACAGTTCCTGAACACAACCGATCAAACATTCAGAAAAGGTAATCAAGACAGGACGAGTCATTTACAACCATATTTGTGACGGTTATCGAGCAATTTCAATTTTACGAGAATTAAAATAAACACGTCTACAGGGAATACACAAATAACAGCATTCGATGTAAACTTAGCATTTTAAGCAGAGAAAAAATTCTGATTAATCGCGAATGAAATTCATTGAGAATAAATAAACGACTAGCCACACATTCCAAACCTGGTCATACTAATTATTCATTTGTAATGGTCATCACTGTAGAAATAAGTTTCATCCCGCAAATTCACGGTCACAACCAATTCATTCTAAAATGGTTCTGCCTTTGCACCGAAGACGATTAGCATCGATTAGTTAGTAAAACATTGCTGCGAACATCACTCGTAAATAGGATTAGGCAAGTACTACAAAGGATTAGGCAAGTACAAATATAGAAGGCATGGACTGAGGCACTTCGCAGGACCAATATTAAAAATCAATTCAGCCACAATTAAGCCTTAACGCACTGAAATAATTGATTGTGTCATCTTATGGACGAATTTTATATTCTTGAACAATTCTTCATGCGTCTTGTAAACACATTAAGGGTGAGTATAAGATTTAAACGTGTACGCTCAAGTATAACTGCTCTTCATTTGACCGATAACATCTCAAATACTAATGGCATATTGTCAACACTACTTGCTTTGTCAGAAAAAGTGCAAATTTGTACCCATACTGAACTGTACTTTCATATATAGTTCAGGCGACTCATAAACCTACGGGCAAAGTGTAGAACAAATATCTATATGCTTTCAATAAATAACATAGTTTTGAAAAGACTAGATTAAAAAGTATTACTGGTCCAAAGAGTTCTAAGATTAAACTCTCTGCACTCTCGCAAATCATGAGACTTAATTCGCAGCTCTTAATAGCTAAGAAAATCCCAGCACCGTATCTAAAAAAAAAGTTCAAGTATGACAGATCCGGCCTATCGAAACTCAGCGATAAACAGTGTATTCTCCTGGATGACTTTTAAAATGAACACCTTATCTGAGTGGTAGGTAAGTCACGACGTGAAAAAGGCATCTTGAGGCATTACGATTAAAGGCACGTGTGGTGAGAACAAGAACGACATCGCAACATGATAGTAACAATCCGTCATTGTTGTCAAACATTGTCGACGAGCAACTGCAGAGACGAAAAAAGGGGCGATTCACGGCAACAGTGATTACAATAACAAATGTTACTCCCAACACAAATCATAAGCTATTTAGACATATGCACACGGAAAGAAAGCTCAGCCAAGTGCCTGCATAGCAGCGCTGTAGGGAGCTAAGAATGGCTCTTTAATCCAACACAATTTTGTCTGCTATATTCCGGATGCAAGATTACAAAGTTCTCAGCCAATTGGTCTACACATAAAATCACTCAATGAGCAATTGTGTGAATTATAACAATTCTGATATATAAATGATTTAGCACCATGAAAACGGAGATTATTTAAAATTTACCGTAATGAATTACACAATACTGAACATCCAGCATTATTATTAAAAAGTTCTAACGGGCCAAAAAATTGTACGATTTGTTCAAAAATTCAGGGCAACCTGCAAGTCAAATACACATGGTTAACTCAAGTTGCAGACAATATAGTTATGATGAATAAATGACGGAGTTTAAAACCATTTCAATATAAAATCAAGATCGTCTCACTAAATCAGCAAATCACAATCGGGTAACTAAGGCTTTATCGCAGTAGATTGAAATTAGAGTGACATGAAAAAGACTTAGCCAAGCATGGTAGAGCTTTCCAGTTAAATAACATGGTAGAGTCACTTTCCTCACGTTCAGAAAGAATTTCAGTACTAGATGAATTTCATTTTTTGTATTAATATACTGTAGCGTCAGATGCTGCTGGGACATTTAATATCATGGGGATTCAATCGTTTAAATTTCATAGAAAGCTATTTCTTCTGATATTGAAATCAATAATTGATATGCAACATAATCACCATTACTTCGGTGCAGCGAAAGAACAAGAAGGTTGCGACACACGAGGACGTATTCCAAACACAGAAATAGTCCAGCACAGCTCCCTTCTACTGTAAATAATGTAAGTAATGGACGCATGTTAAGGCGGGCAACATCTCAATGAACACGCGTTGCAGCAGAGCAGAGAAGAGGGAGTTAAGAAACGCAAAGACCTTAAAAATACTGACCTCGGGAAAACTTACTTGAAACATATTTAATTGAAGCATTAGCACACGTTCAAGCCGTGGTTACAGCTCTTATACCCCGAAAAATATTTACAAACCGTAAAATCATGGTTATCAGGCAAAGAAAAACTTGTAGTATGTTTAATTTGAATACAACGATTTATAGGCCGTAGCTTCATATCCAAATATGCCTCAGTTCAGATAGAGTAACATATGCGATAAACCGTTGATGTTAATGGGTATTGGTTGCAGAGCGTACATATATGAATTATCCCTCTCAAATAAAAATTTTCGTGTGCAATAATGCTGGTTTTTTTACAAGAGTATCAACGTAACCTAAACTTTCCGTAATCTCTTATTAAATTTTTCAACTCGAGTTTCCCGCTTCTTGCTGGAGTTTGAGCATCACACAACTTTTTCAAATACTTCCGTTAGGATATATAACTTATGAGACACAATTTTTTTTCATCGTGATAAAGACTAAAAGTTTACCCGAGGTCAGCATCCCCACAGTCGGACAGTGGATGCGGAAGCATTGTTCGGACGATGAAAAATAATTACGCAAGTTGCGCTTCAATTAAACTTCATCCGAGGCCATCGTTGCGCTGCCGTCGCCACTGCTGCGGTAGTTGTTGTTCACTTTGCTGGACGAGTCGTGCGCCTGCACAAAATTTAATTCATACAAATCATTGCAATACAGAACCAATTCAATGAGTGACCAATTGGTGTTTTCGGTCAAGAGCAGAAATTTCCGTTAACATTATGGGAGCAGATCAGCCCATAGGTAACAGGAATAGTAGATTCGGCATTGAATGTGTCTAATATAATAAATAGGTTTTTGGTCTTTACAAGATAGTTAATTTTTAGTGGATTGAGTAAGCACATCCAATCGGCTTTGCGTCTTAACCATGAATAATCAAAAACAAAAGCTTTAAACGTTGAATTTTAGAGAAAAAAGAGAAGAAGCAAGGTTTAAACTAAGGACAACTAGCTTTCTTCCGATAGGATGAATGTTCATCAAAAGACACGCGAACTACTAACGGATAAAACCTTTTTACGTATGGGAAAACAAATATGGCATGCACACTCAAAGATAATCCTCTAATTCATGTACTAGATAAAAGAACACGAGCCAACTCTGGTACTAAATAAAATAAACCAAGGTTAAAAAATGCGTGCTGCCAACTGCCAACTTCATCCAATTTCGCACAAGTCGAGCGCAGTGTTTTTGTTTGTACAAAGAAACATTAACTTTCAAACGGAACCACTAATCATAAAATCGATGTCCTACTAAGTTGAATTGTTCACTCTGAAGAAACTCACACGGTAAAAAAAAGAGCAGTCAGAAATTACGTCTTAAACGAGAACAGAATAAAAACAAGACGCTAGATGACGCCATCATCACAAAGATCTACTTTTGACTTCCGAATTACCAAAATAAACATGATTAGATTGTTTTGATATTAATTCGGGTACATAAATTAGAAACAAACCACGTTCAGCACAAGAACATGCTTCTATGTACACACACACTGCATTTTGATCGATCTAAGTTGGGAATTTCTACAGAAAAGCAGAGCCATTATCATCTCGAGTCGTGCAGTGTTTTGGAACAGACAACGCGGATACCTCGGGCAGCCAAAGCGGAGTGCAAGGGAAGGCATGCGGGCGAAATTGGCTCAGAAGAACTGGTATGAGATGATTTTGTTGTTATCATCAATACTCTGCCAAAAATAAATGCCACATAAGCAGGTGTAACAAAAAAAAAATAATTTGTACAGAAAAAATTTACAAAAATGTAATGCATCAGTAATCACCCTCAATCATTAACCATTGTTAGGTAACAAGGAATGAAGGTTTTAAAATGGAAGAGATCATTGAAGTAGATAGAGATAAGCAATAAAGAATATACATAGTATGCAAATAGTGGCACCTATACGGGAACAAAATCAAACATCCCTGAAAGAAACAAATAGACAAATATCCGCATCCAATAACTCGTATTATCTGTCTAGAATATGAATGAATGGTGATGAAACCTGAAATATTCAAACGAATCAAAAAGCAGTAACGAGCGAAAGGATTGCGATGCTGTTTGACAAACCTCAGATGTAGGCAATACGTCAATTGAGGCAATTCAAATAAAATAAATAATAATTTAAATAAACATTAATTGAGATGAAAACAGTAATGTGTTTCTATAAAATTGAAAATCACTTAATTTTCATAACATTACAGCAAATCATTATCTCGATTTATAGGGATAATAAACTGGAGCAAGCCTGTAATTTGCCATAGGTAACCCAACTCTGGCGTTTGATCTAAAGTCATACATTTCTAATAAATAAATAAATAAATATATATGTTAAGAGCCATCAAACTTTAGGGGTTCATAAATATTTTGAGAACAAAATTGCTGGAATGAGGGTCTCAGAATATCAGAGGCGGAAGGGCATCTGTCCATAACATCTAAGCAAAACTCAAACGCATAGGAAAGGGAGGGAAGTAAATCAACAAGAGATCTTGCGAAATTCTGGAGTGTGTAAGTCCCATAAATAACACTTGGTATAGGTGTAGACTAGTACTGTTCGGGAGTAACTCTACACTCGATTTTTCCCAAAGTCTCTCAAATATTTGACGTACCCAGCAGGGCTTTTCTTGAGTGAAGAGCGTAGTTTGTTTTTGCTCTCAGTGAGAGCCTCGAATGATAGACTCTGCTTGCAGGTACAGCACGAGCACAAATTCATGAACAGAAGCGTAGACCAAGCAGAGGAGAGAAGAAAATAAATAAGATGCTGGTAGCTTATTTGAAGCTTTCTTTAATAAAGAGGAAAGTAAGCAATAACGGCGTCAAAACTTCATAAGCAATTGTAGCGCAGCAAAAGCAAACAAGATGGTGTGCAGGACAGTCAACAAAGATTTACATCGACCAAAAAATGAAGAGACAGATGGTCTCCCTCAACCTTCCCATTAATTTACTAAGGGTTATGCTAGCATTCTCTTCTGCAGTGGGAAGAATATGTATTGTGTGTGTGGAAACTAATATTCTGTCACTTTCAACTATCTGGCTCCCACACACACGTAGCCGACAAATCTTTCTTTTACCTCTATGTAGGATATTAATTCGGATTAATTTCAACATTCAAGATCAAAATATCATTGTAGGCTAACAGGTTTCAGTTCGCGTCCTACACCCAGCTCGTAGGGTTAGTCGTGCACCCCGCGAATTCCCGTCATAGTTGGGGTTATGGATAAGTCACCTCACCACGATAAATTAGGTACACTAAATCAAGATAAATGAAAAATGTATATGTCTTAGGAACGAGTAAGGCGAAGATGGGGAGGGGAGGGGAGGGATGAGTGCTGCAAGTAAGCAGCTGGCGGTTGGTTCGAGGCCTCGATTGAGTTGAGTGGTCGGTGCATGTAACTCTTATTAAAGCATCGATCTAAGACAAGCTAAGTGAGAATAAATGCATGAAACTCATCGCGAAAATGGTGGATTTTTATCCAGTTCCTGCTTCAGGAAGACTGCCTTAAACTTCTTCATCTCCGTCTGGAGGTCGTCAATTTTTTTCTTCAGGTCATCGTTGACTTTCATTACCTGAAACGTAACTTATCATTACTTGCTTCATTACCTGAAACGTAAAGTATCATTACTTGCTTCATTAACCAAACTTAACTGTCCAACAACTTTCAACTGATACTACATCACAAAACTTCGACTTATAACCGTTATTATTGTAGTAACTAACAGAATGTATCGAAATTCAAAATCGAATAAAAAATTTAGATGAATCAGGAATGACAAGCTAACTCAGCTTGGTTTGAGAATATTAGTCGCAGATTGCTCAATAGTGGACCGAAAAATAATGAAGTAAATCAAAATTGAAGTATCTTCTTCGTCAACAGTAACTAATACGTCTCTTAATATTTTTAATGTAGCATTTCATAGACATTTAAAACCATGAAAAGAACAGTATTTTGTAGAGTTCTCTCTAGTACGCCTATGTCTTCTCAACTTCGTCCTTATAAACCAGATAACGAGTACCTGCGCTACTTTATTATAACATAAGTAATTTGTAGACCAATGACTCTTGGCTTTGTCATTATAAACCAGACAAGGAGTACCTGCGCTACTTTATTATAATATAACTAATTTGTAGACCAATGACTCTTAGCTTGTCCTTATAAACCAGACACGAGTACCTGCGCTACTTTAATATAACATAAATAGGAGTAATTTGTAGACCCATGACTCTTAGCTTGTCCTCATAAACCAGAGGAGTACCTGCGCTACTTTATTATAACATAAATAGGAGTAATTTTTAGACCAATTACTCTTAGCTTGTCCTCATAAACCAGACAATGAGTACCTGCGCTACTTTATCCAGCGCTTCCTGAGCGAGCTCAAGGGCCTTGCCATCGTCACCGCCTCGTGACGGCCCCGAGGAAGACACCGACGACGAGGCTGCAGCAGAAGCAGCAGCTCCAGAGGACGCGGACGAAGATGAAGCAGGCGCGCGGTCCAAAACATTGCCTGACCTCTTACTGATTTTCAAGTCACTTTTTTGTGTCGGTTGGTAACCACCTGGAGGAATAGTGCAGTGAGAATAATAGAGTGTTAAAAACTGGCATAATAGTGCAATGAGAATAATCGAGTGTTAAAAATATGAGCTTAAAACTTCAGTACTAGTTTGTGAAGGAAAAAGGAGTAATTAATTATATGAAAGATTAGGGGCTACAATGAATCGATAAATACAGAACTGAACCAAATATTTGCACACAAACAATGACACTAATTGCAGTTACAATCAAACAAAACACCAGCTCGTTAGCGGCCTAAAACTGCTAGTAACAAAGCCATGAATTAAAAATGACTTTATCAGACGTTTACCTCATCATGATAACTTCAGATTGAACTACTCTTAATGTAACCAAATGGAGATTAACATTAAACATAATCAAGAAATTTGAATTAATATATTAATATATTGAATTAGAGCGTTGGAAGAAACCTTTGAGGGACATGAGAAGAGGTTCAGCATTCTTGTTTTCGTCCCACCACTCCTCGGCTGAGAGGGCAGGGATGTCGCCAGGGGTGTCGGGGTACAGGTCCTCTTGGAACAACTCGCTCTGCAAGCCAATTTTCTTACATTAATTAAACTGATAATTAAGTAATACCAAAGCTAAATATTGATAGCAAGAAATATTTTAAATAATGATGCATGCAGTAAGCTGGGAATATATCAGGATATTAAAATATTGCTACAGTATCAGCACAAAATATCTGTACAGTATCAGTAGATACAGTATAAAATACAGTATGGCACACGGAAAACATTCATTTCGGAATGCATGGTCAATTTCAGAGAATATTTGAAAACGAACATAGCAGGAGTTGACATGACGTAGTACAATCATAGTGAAAAATACTAATTAAAAAACAAGGCTAAGTCGAAATTTTCAAGACAAAGATACCGGAAATAATTTTGAACTTTAACTTGTACAAGAGTGTGAACAAACATTCTTGTAGCAGTCAGCGCAAACCCACGAGGCATCTATAACAATGAATAAGGTTAACTTTTTAACCCACGGCCGAAAAATTATGAAGGTCCTTGAAACGTAATTTGCAGCTAAATTCAACAGCCTACATAAAATTACAGCGACATTGACTGCACGGTATGATGTTTACATTGAACATGATTAGCCAACTCAAACTACACATCTCATTTACACCACTTCACTGCCACACATGTAAGCTCAAGTAAACTACCTAAGTGGTATTCACCTTCCTCGGCACGGTCATGGATATGATTTGGCAGAAGCCATTATTGTTGAGTCTGTAGAAGCGCATGATTTCACACGAGTTGACGTCAACGCCGCGCTTGGGCATGACACCGATGCCGCGCTGAGGATCAGGCAGCTGGAACGTGTTGATGTAGTGGACGAAAGGCACGTCCGCACTGATCTCGAAGTATCGGATCACACTATCACCCTTGCCTGAAATGAACACTTTGCATCAGTATTCGCGCCAAACTCGCTCGAGATTTGTTCGATCGTATTAGTTCAAGTTCAAGATGGTTTAGTAGTAAGTTTCAGCCAGTTAAAATCCTAACACAATGTTTTATACCTCCAATTTAATTTATGTACAGAGTCATTGGTCATTATTCGCATGGTTATATTCAAAGTTAAGGCCGTTCTACTCGGAACATGCGGAACATGACGTACCGCAGAGGTATACAAGGTTTGTGTCCGGGTCATAGACAGGGAACATCACGCCGTTGGAGGAGTCCAGGTCCACCGTGGTGATGGGGTCGTGCATGTGGCCGGGAGCACGCAAGCTGTACTGCCTCTCGGATCGCTTGCTAAATCCCGTCGTGAAAACCAAGCCATTCTTCAGGAAAATAGCCCGTGCGCCTTTGCTGCCTTCGTGTGACGTCGCTTCCTGTAATGAGTTGTTGAATCATGAAGATTAGCAGACTTAAAGATGCTATAGCTTCTGGAACATGATCACTTTATTTCAAATAAAAAATTCAGTACCTATATAAAATTTATGAAATGTAATTACAGAATAAAATAATATTTTTTAAATCAAAAAATACATGAAATCCCACTGAAGAACAAAACCTAGTAACTTGAGACAACTTTTACCAGCCGAAAATTATTTTTTTAATAGTATTAATTTTCACACAAGAGACATAATAAGTAACTACCAGGCTAAATAACAACGGAAATTCTGAGCCCATTAATGCAACGTACTTCGAAGATCTCGCCATTCCTGGGGTTGAGTATCCTGATCTTCTTATCTTTGCAGGTGGTGAGTAAGAGAGAGCCATCCCAGTTGAAGCAACATGAGTAAATGGTGTCGGGGTGACAGTCTAACGTTGATAACGCCTCGGCACACCCAACGTTCCAGATGACGATGAGGTTGTCGGAGCCTGCAGACAGCAGGATGTTGTTGGCCGTAGGATGCCACAGCACGCAGCTCACGCGCCGTTGATGAAACACCAAATCCACAACAGACTCAGTCAAAGTTCTGAAATGCATAGGAAGACATTGGGACCTAATATCTTATTGGCTGAGTATATGTGTCAGAAGATAGTTTATGAAGTAATTAACTACGATAGAGAAAGCAGAAGTCATGTTGGCTAAGTTCTTGAATTCAAGACCTTGTATTCGTTCAATGTAGCCCTTGAATTCGTAGCCAATTCAGGGTGTAGATGAGATCAAGCGCGCTTTTATTATAAAGTACACAAGAATTCTTTTACAAAATTATATTACATTCAAAGAACATGCAGTTAAAATAAAGCCTCACTGCTGTCACTACGAAGCCTTGTTTACGCGCGGTTGTGAAACGAAAATGAACGGATGCTATGGTGAGATAAGACGAGCTCGCGTAGCTATGATACTGTAAATAACGAAACTTGGCTTACAGGAAACGGCCATACGTCTACAGCATCTCCATCACGGTCAATGTTATGTCAGCAATCGTCGACTTCATGGATCAATTATGTAACCTAAGAGTGGATGGTGTAAATGACAAGTGAGTAGCTTATGAAAACGAAAAACAATCCCAGCTTCTGAAATGTCACAGTATTACATGGCACAGCCATGCAGCACTACAACGCTTAACTTTCTCTATTAATGTATGGCATATTATAAACAATCAAATTTTACGAACATTAATACTTGAGAAGAAAGGAAATTATAATGTACTTACAAATGGGCTAACACTATTCCAACTAACGTTGAAAAATCGTAGTGTAAAGGAGAAATTTTAGATAAATTTTTTCCAATTTTGACAATATATCAGATGGTTTAAATGTGTTATGAATAATCCAAACAATTTCATGAGCACGATTAAGCAGTTAATAATAAATGATTTACATGGCTAAGCCTCAGTGATGCAGGTGTATAGAACGAGCTGCCGGATCAAGATACTGAGAAATCAGGCCTGATAACAAATGGTAGAGCATAAAATAGAGATAAGCATACGTCCAGTATTTCTTTAAAATGACTCAAATTATAATCCCAGAAGAATTTTGTACAAGACATAAATAATAAAATTCAGACACTGACAGTATATAAAAGTACAGCATTATGACACGATAGAAGCATGAAGAAAAAACTGTTAACAGTATACAATACCTATGCAGAAACAAGGAAATATATAAATACATTTTCAATTTAGAAGATTCCCAACCACTTACCTGGGATTGAATGGGCAATTAAATTACTGACTGAGAATATTCAATAATGAGACCGATATTA